AGAAGACAGGAACCAAGGCAGGCGAGATATGGTACATGTGTAAAAAGCCTGACACATTATGAGCAGCATATATGGTATAACCTGGGCAGGTTATAAACAAGGAGCTTTGGAGGTAAAGCACTGTTTGAACACTCTTTGCATGATAAATCCTTTGTGCAAAAAAGCTGGGCTTTGGAGCCTCTCATAAATAAACAGGATTTCATTAAAGGTAGCTAATTCCACTGCCAGTGTCTCTTCCTAACTAGAATAACCCACAAGTTCCCAAATTTTGTAGTTCCTGCATTCCAAAAGGACACCTATTTTAGTTTTGAATTATGTAAATTTATTTAAAGTAGCAAAGAGAACTTTTCTGATGTGAGCAAAATTTAGAGAACCAATGAAATCAGACCTTTTTTTGTGGCAGATACTTATATGTCCAAAAGGGAATTCTGCTTGGTAGAAATCACACCTGTATCACAAAAGCTACTAGATAATGTCTTATAATTGATTCAGTTTTGCAGTATTTGTCAAAGTCTTTCCTCTATGTAAAGATTGTTTGTTGAGAGGTCTGTTTTAAGCACTGTAAAGGAATTGATGACCTCAGTGCAGTGCTTGGAAAGGCAGAATTTGCACTGCAGATGACTCTTATCACAGTTCTTCTCTTTGCCTTGTAGTCCAAGAGGAGAGGCCAGGGTCTGAATGGGGACAGAAGAATGTTCTGCTCTCCCATTCATTAAAGTGATCCCTGCAACACATAGCCAGAATTCTCTGAGGCAGTTGTTTAATCTCCTCTCAGACATTATAGGTTTTCAGTTTCATGGTTACCTAACCCAAGAGCATTTTCAGAAACAAATTCACTTTATGACGATTCTTAAAATCATTTCTGGTCAGGCTCAGTCACCTACCCACCAACAGCTGAAAACAGAATGGGGAGGAAGGAGGCTCCCTAAATACATATGAATGCCATTGCACTGCTGTGGGAACTGCTTCACTTCTCACCTGTGGTTTCTCCTTCATAGGAAGCCTGGAGGAGGATGGGTCACCGAGACTTTTCAACAGGGAATATGTGCTGATGTTTGGTGTGTTTGATGAAAGCAAAAGTTGTCAAAAGGCATCCTCACAGACATCAGCACTGAAGTACACAATTAATGGCTATGCTGATGGGACGTTACCAGGTATTGTGCAGGCATATGCAATTTGAAGTAAGCACTGATGGAGACTGAATATGACATTGCTTTGCTTTTTTTTTGTGCAAGAGAACAGGAATGCATAGGAACGGGATATGTCTGAATTCCAGAGGGAAATCCGGTGCTGCTAGAAAGACATCATGCCATCTTGCTGATGCATTCAAAGAACAGAGTTACTAACTTAAAAAAATAAGAAATCCCTCTTTCTTTATTCAGCTGATGAGGAGAGGGTGATGTGGTTAATTAAACTGCTGGGTCTGGAGCACCTGGAATGCATCAAATGGGAAGCTGCCTTCAAGTGGAAAGTCATTTACCATTTAATCAGGCAATTAAGTGGGAAGACTAGGAAGGTAGTGTAATGGGACTATTCTGTTGTTAGTACTTTTCCAATGTTCCCCTAATGAACTGCTTTCATATTTCTCTCCAGTCCATCAACCACATTAAGAAATTTCTTGGTTTTATGTTGTTGTTATTGTTGTTTCTCTGTTGGATAAATGTTGTTGGATAGTTACTTTTATTAAATTCAGTCTTATTCTTTAACTTGGTTCCTTGCCAAACAAGGACAGCTCTGGTGTATGAAATAGCCTCTTGGTTTTCTTCCTTCTTCCCCAGTTCCATATAAGTCAGGTTGTTACTTGCATATAAGATTTAGACATCTAGTCTTCTGCTGACTTTAGAGGACCTGAATCTTGTTCTCCTTTCTTTTTCAGATTTAGAGGCTTGTGCCTATGACAACATTAGTTGGCATTTGATAGGAATGAGTTCCAAGCCAGAAATTTTCTCCATTCATATCAATGGTCAGACCATGCAGCAAAGAAATCATCGAATTTCTACTGTTAACCTCGTGGGAGGAGCATCAACCACAGTAAACATGACAGTCAGTGAAGAAGGAAGGTGGCTGATCTCTTCTCTTGTCCAGAAGCATCTGCAAGGCAAGGAAACATATATTTACTCAACAGTTTCAGAGGTTATACTTTTCTTTTGCATGTCCCAAAGGGCGTCTTTTTTTTTTGCAATGATGCGGTTACTGTGTTTCAGATTGTTGGTATACTAAGAAACCACTGGAGGTAGGGTGTTCAGTTGGAATTAAAACCGCAGGATGAAGTAAAAGGCATCATTATCAGTCGCTTTATTGCAACGAGTCAGAATTCTAGCTATTAAATCTCTGGGATGTGTTCAGATAAGCAGCATTGTAAAAAGGATAAGGAATCACCTGTTTCCTGACTAACTGAGCACTTTGAGCTGAGGACCACTCAATCTGATGAAAATATTTGCTGTTTGTCTCTTGAAAGTGGGGAATGATTTCTGCTGCTTATTTCAAAGAGCACTAGTTGAGTGAGCTGCTGTATTCCACTTCATTGATAGGGGCTTCTCAAAAAGTCCCAGCCTACATGCTTACAGTCCTTTCAAGCCCGAAAAGATGATGCTCATATGAACCAGTACTTGCAAGCAGTCTAAGCTAAAGAAATAAAAAGTGCGGTGGAAGTGGCAAGGATGTATAAAATGAAAAATCATTGTGGTACTCTGCTTCTTTTCAATTAGCTGGACTGCATGGTTACCTCAGTATAAGAGGCTGTGAGGACAAAGAGGTGAAGAAGAGGAGGCTCTCCTTTAGAGAACGCCTTATAGTCAAGAATTGGGACTATTTCATTGCTGCAGAAGAAATTACTTGGGATTATGCCCCAAATATTCCAGACAACCTTGATAGGTAAAATAATATTTTGTCAACCTAACATGAAGTATTAACTTGGAATCACAGAGTAATTTAGGGTGGAGGAGACTGCTCCATCCTAAGTGGAGAGTGGTCATCTCACCCAAACTCACACTCTGAAAATAGCCAACTTCAATGTTAGCTCCATCTGCAAAGTTAGACCAACCGCATAAAGCCTTGTCTAGTTCAGTTTTCAGGATCTCCAAAGATAGTTGCTTCACCACCTTTCTGGGCATTTGTTCAACCTTACTATTGCAAAATGTTTTCCTTCTATCTAGTTGGATTTTCCCATGCTGCAGCTTGTGCCCCTTGCATCTCATCCTTTCACTCTTTACAGCCCTGAGAAGAGTCTGGTTCCATGTGCATGTGAGGTAGCTGAAGATAAAAATCAGATTCTCCCTTAACTCTTTCTCCTCTAGACTGTTTCTTCTCTAGGCAAAAAAAAACAACTTCTGCTCTAGTCCTCTAACATGACTCTCCACTAGACTCACGCCAGCGTATTAACATCTTCTGCTAGGAAGTCCAAAACTGTATACCTTTTTCTACCTCTAATGGGAAGCCCAAAACATGAAGATGACCAAGGAAATACCCTATCTAGCATGCAAAGCTGATTTCTAAAGAGAAAAGGAGGGAAGGAATTATTCTGGAGAGCAGGAGTTATAAAAAGGTCAGCTTAATAAAATGTTTAGGGTGTGAGAGAAAGAGGGTCTGTCAAAAAAATGATCTTTGCATGACATGAAGAGGAGCTGCAGTAAAAGTCTAAGTAAATAAGTGTATTGGGATATTTTGTTCAATGTATCTCCAGCACTCTGACACGCCTCCCTGCTGGAGCAGTGTTGGCCCTTGCCATTCATGGGTCAACTGTAGAACCTCTTAATTATCAGATAAACTGAAGCTGTTGACTCTTCAAGCTGATGTTCATAGGAACCTTTAAGTATTCAAGCAGGAGAAGAAAAACATGCATAGGCCTGTATGTTATAGTTACATACACCTCTTTAGTTTACAAAAGCTACATTTTCATATCCCTTTTAAGTAGTCCTCCTCCTTTCATATGATCGCTTCCCTTCTCATTTATTCTTGGACTCTACCTGGCATGCTTGCATGTCTGCCTTTTTTTTT